TGGAACTACAACCAAGACTGCTCTACCCAGCAAATCTATCGTTTAGAATTGAATGTCAGATAAAGAGCTTCACGGATAAGAAAAAGCTAAAGGAGTTCATCACCACCAGACCAGCACTATAGGAAAACTTAAAGGGTCTTCTTTAAGAAGCAGCTAATGAACAAAAGAATCTGACGAACTAAGTAGATCCAGAGACATTGATGCATGCAACAGAAGATCATATTTCAGAGGAAGGAGGGAAGGGGGGTGAAGGGTGGGAAGAGACTAACCAAAGAAGTTATATGCATATATGCATAACCCATGGACACAGTCAATAATGGGATGAAGGCCTGGAGAGGGGGTGAAAGTGGGGGGGGTCAATTGGGGGAAAAAATGGGACACCTGTAATACTCTCAACAATAAAGATAAATTAAAATACAAAAAGAAAAGTCTTTCTTGATTTCAGAGAGAGTAAGGGAGAGGAAGAGAGAGAGAGAAACATCAATGATGAGAGAGTTGTTGACAGCTGCGTCCTGCATGCCCCTCCACTGGGGATCGAGCCTGCAACCCAGGCATGTGCCCTGACCAGGAATTGAACGGTAATCTCCTGGATCATAGGTCTATGCTCAACTGCTGAACCATGCAAGCCGGGCTATGTCTCACAGTTTTAAGGGAATTATTACCGTAGTTTAAAGTATCTTTTCCCCATTGACAATCTGGTAAGCTCAACCTTCTATTTAAAACTGTATTTCAGAATCACCCCTGGGAAATCTTTGCAGAATTTCAGGAAGTTCTAATCAACTTCATTCTTTGTATCACTGCTTTACCTTATATCTAATTATAGCACTTACTATGGCATTTACTACATCTTGTGTGCCTATGTACTACTTTTGAACAAAACGTAAAGGTGAACTTCCATAATCAAGATTTTCAAGATGTTTTCTCCCAAAGAATCTTTTATACTTTTCTATTTCTACCTCCATTTTCAAAGATTTTATTTACTTTAACTGATTTGTATTCAAGTGAATTTAACAAATAATCACTGGGTACCCATCTCATACCATGTACTACTGATAAATAATCCCAGCAAATCCATTTTAAGAGAAAAACGTGAAGAGAGAAAGAAATATATAAGATGGCAAACAGGTATAAAGTTTCTAAACTTTCCAGAAGTAACATTGAAACCATATACACTGCATCACAAATTACAGAAGAGAATACTGAGACTTGAAAGAAAATAGAGATATGCCTTAGAATCTAAGCCCTCTGATCCATAATTTCAACACACTGCCCAAAATTATGATATTCAGAGTAGCAAATCAATGAGAATTATCTACCCCCAAATAGTTATGAACACATTTTCCACGAACTCTAAGGTTTTATTTTTATAGATGTTTTTAGGTAAGGCATTTCTTGTGGCTTCTCCATGTCGAATATAGACTTCTAGAAAAGGTAAGAATAATTTCAGTTCACAATAACAGAATATATTTCTTCTTCAAAAGCTATTTAATCAGTCTTCTGTTTAATGATCACAGAGCAAGTGATGCTTTACTTTTTAAAATACAGAACACGCCTGGCCGGGCGTGGCTCAACGGTTGAGCATTGACCTAGGACCCAGGCAATCGGGATTCGATTCCTGGTCAGGGCACATGCCCGGGTTGCAGGCTCAATCAATGATTTTCTCATCATTGATGTTTCTATCTCTCTCTCTCCTTTCCTCTCTCTGAAATCAATAAAGATATATTTTTAAATAAATTAATTAATAATAATAATAATAAAACACAGAACACATCACCCGGCCAGGCATGGCTCAGTGGTTGGACGTCAACCTAGGATCCAGGAGATCACAGTTTGATTCCCAGTCAGGGCACATGCCCAGGTTGTGGGCTCGATCCCCAGTCAGGGGCATGCAGGAGGCAGCCGATCATTTACGACTCTCTCATCATTGATGTTTCTCTCTCCCTTCCTCTCTCTGAAATCAATAAATATATTAAAAATAATAATAAAATAAATTTAAAAATAAAATACAGAACACATCAACAAAATGCATTCCTTCACTCCTCTCCAACACATATACCCATTTGCAACAGATAAAAATATTTATCTGGCATGACAGAGGTTAAGAAAACACTGGACTAAGTCAAGAGGCCAATCCCAGCTCAGCTTTTGGATAAAGCAAAAACTATGGAACCAGAGTGTTAAGGTTTGAATACTTGCTATGGGTATCATCTGTAAAACTAGAATAAAAATAACAGTTCTTGCCTAAGAAACAGTAGGCACTACATAACGCTAGCAAATATTTTAGCAAATAATATTATCTTTTTTTGTTGTTGTTAATCCTCACCAGAGGATATTTTTTTCCATTGATTTTTAGAGAGAGTGGATGGCACCAGGGGTTGGGGGGCACATCGATGTGAGGCACATCACATCCCGAACATGCCCAGACCAGGGCCAGGGATAAAACCTGCAACCCAGGTATATGGCCTTAACCGGGAATCAAACCCACGACCCTTCCCTTGAGTGGTCTCTATACTGTTCTGTATCTACACTCTGAGTTGATCTGAGGTTCCATTAATAAGCTCCTCTATCCCATTCTGGAACGAAGAGACCAAAGCAATCAAACAAGCATACTTATTTAGCATTACACACAGTAACTAAGCCCATGTCACCAACTAAAAATCAATAACACCGACAGAAACTCTAAACAAACCCACCCATTTTCATTCAAAGGTGCATTCAAACACATTATTACTGAATGTACTGGGGCCTATTTTAAAAAAGAACACAAAAAAACCTGTATGATATAGCTCAAAACCTATGGTCTGATATGTCATTTGCTTAGAGTAATATGAAGACTACAATAACTGTACTGAAATATAAGATATAAAATGCTTATCATGGCTATGACTCAAAAATTTATGTTTGTGTGTGAAGGCGGGGAGTGAAGGAGTGGCGGGGGGGCAAGCATACATGCATTTAGGTACTCACTTGCTCCAATTTAAAGATATGCTGATTAAAGTAGTGCTGTAAACGTTCATTAGCAAAATTAATACAGAACTGTTCAAAGCTGTTATTTTCATAATCTTCAAACCCAAAAATATCAAGAACACCAATGGACAAAGTCTGTAAAACAGGAAAAAAATTATGGTTGAAAAATGATGCTCAAATTTATTTCATGAATAATATCTACAATATAAGAAACAAAATGCTCAAAGTTGTTCTATAGCACTGAAGAGCAGATTTTGAGGAGACCAATGCTGAACCAAAATATACCACAAATAAAAAGCATTTTAGTTCTCTTTATCTTCATCTTTTTCTTTTCATCCTAATTACTTTTTTTAAAATCCAAAAATTTAACACATGTAATCCACTGACTACTGTACAGAAATGTACAAAGCAGGGACAGTGGCCTGTTATCTCAATCGCAGAAATTCCTCAACTCCAAGAGACAAGGGAATGGAAATAACAGGCTATTGGGAAATAAAAAAATTACTTAAGTGCTACTAGGTCACTCCTGGCTATGCCTTGTTCTATTCAAGAGGGCCATGCAATTTTTCCTACTTTGACTTCCATATTCCAATAGAATTTTGCTTTAAAAACCAAGCCTTGTACAAGCTAGAAATATCAAGAATATGTGGTTTCTTGAAGTTAACTTTTAGCTTTTTTATCCAAAAAAAAAATGTACTAGGATTATAATGTTAAAAATAGTTCTAAAAGGATTATAACAAAAACCAACAATCTCTTCTTCATCCTCAATTTCTCCACCCTACTACACTCAAACCTTTTAGCTGTTTGGTATGGAATAGTATAGTATAGTATAGTATAGTATAGTATAGTATAGTATAGTATAGTATAGTATAGTATAGTATAGTATAGTATAGTATAGTATACAAATGTGTATACTTCTATTTCTTGATATTTCACTTGCAGAAATTATCTTCCAACTACTTATTTAACTCTAATACCCTCATACCAACATTCTTCTCACCACTCCAACTCATTGTTTACAATTGTATGACAATTTTGGTTCAATGAGAACAATTTTTCTCCACTGGTGCTAAAAGAGATAGTAGGTAAACTGATGTAATGAGTGATAAATAATGAGAGATTTTTTAAATGTCTCCATTAAGAGTATTTTGTTTTTCATAAGTATCTAAATCAATAAAATTCAGATCTACTTCCTACTGTCCCCCTACCCCCAAAAAAGAGTATTTTGTTTGATTAATTCTGTTGACTAGATTCTAAGTCCTTATGAAAATAATGACCTTCAAATATAAATTAATCTGGTAAGTTAGATTACAATTAAAATTAATATTCTAACTGTGGGCTTACACAAAGCATGAAAAGCTCATATAAAAGTAATTTTACATTTAAGATCATCAAATTAAGTAATAAAGATGACTTTTTTTTTTTTCTTTTTCTTTTCCCTGTGTCCCAGTGCCTGAGGATAGAACCTGCAGACTGGAAGCCACTGGCACCGAAGACATGACCCCAAGAGAGCCGGAGCCCTGTCCTGCTCCCTCAGTACATTACAGGGACCAGGACAGCACATCTGATCCCCAACAAGAAGAGGAGGATTAAAGATGACATTTCTAATCAGCCTGAAGAGGTAGACTATTCCATAAAAGTTGTTAGGAAATAAAGTGAATTTGAAATGATTAAAGTTAAATATCTAAAATCTGTCATATTAAAAGTAAATTCCAATTGGAAAAAAGTCCTGAACATAAAATATTATATTCTAAAAGTATGAGAATATTTTATAATCTTGGGCTGGAAGAGGACTTCTTATGTAAAAAAAGTAAAGAAATAAAGTCCAGGACAATAAAGGAAAAGAATGAAAGAACTGAACAAAAATTTAAAACATACAGACTTCAAAAACCCAACATAAACAAATCTTGCCTGGCCAGGCGTGGCTCAGCAGCTGAGCACTGACCTAGGATACAGGCGATCGGGGTTCGATTCCCGGTCAGGGCACATGCCCGGGTTGCGGGGCTAGGCAGCCAGTCAATGACTCATCATTGATGTTTCTATCTCTCTTTCCCTCTCCTTTCCTCTCTCTGAAATCAATAAAGATTTTTTTTAAACAATAATAAAAAAATAAAATAAAAACACAAGTTAAAAAAAATATATTTCAAGTCAAATATTTGGAATGTATGTCAAACTATAAGTCTCTGCAATATCCACAATGACTCCTAAAAAGGAGTAACAAAAAGATAAAATAAACAACATAAAAATAGTAAAAATATATAAAGAAACAAAGCTAGTATTGCTCAGTGGTAGACCCATGATGAACCCCCAGTCCGATTCCCAGTCTGGGCACATGCCTGGGTTTTGGGCTCGATCCCCAGTAGGGGGCCTGCAGGAGGCAGCTGATCAATGATTCTCTCTCTTCACTGATGTGTTTCTCTCTCTCTCTCTCTCTCTCTCCCTCTTTCATTCCATTCCATTCCTCAATCTGAAATCAATAAAAACAAATTAAAATAATAATGATAAAGAAAAGAAATAAAACAGAAGACATAAGTTGCTCAACTTTCATCTATCATTAAAAACACTGGCAGCAAAATGGGCTAGTTTTCATTATCAGATTAGCCTAATGAAAACTCTGATAATATTCAATGTGAGTAAAGGTGTAGTAGGGAAAAAGACACTTTCATACACTACTGATGGAAGTGTAGTGTTTTCTTAAAAGCAATTTAGCAGAAGCTAACAAAATTTTAAAACATATATATCCTTGAATCCAGAAATTCATTTTGAGGATTTTGTCCTAGAGAAATGTACACAAAGAATATTTGTTACATTATAATTTACAACAATAAAACAAATATATATTTAAAACAGACTGACAGCTGTCAGAGGGGAGGGGAGTTGGGGGCTGAGTGAAAAGGTGAAGGAACTAAAAAAAAAAAACCAACTCAGACACAGACAACACTGTGATGATTACCAGAGAAAAGGGGGGATGGGGGAGGTAAAAGAAGGTAAAGGGGGGATAAAAGGTGACTTGATGTGGGCTGGTGAACACAATATACAATATACAGAGGATGTATTATAGAATTGCAAAACTGAAACCTATATAATTTTATTAACCAATGTCACTATAATAAATTCAATTAAAATAAAACAATAAGGTACAGATATATTTCAAGACATATTAGGTTAAAAAAAAAAAGTTGTAGAAACAATACAGATAGTGTGGATGAAAAGAAGGGTTGTGGAAAGTAACCTCACAGGGTGATCTGCTCATAAATTCCTAACTAGGCAGGTCATGGTGGGTAGAAGCCCCAGGCCTTGGACAAACTATGCCCATTGTTCCTGTGCATCTAGGTTAACACACCTTTTAAATACCAGAAGTAATACCCCTTGAAGGGGATAATAACCCTCAAGAGAGCACATAATCTTGTTAACTATCTTGTTGCTTCCTCCCACCTTCAGGTAATCTTCCTTAGTTCCCTCCTAGTTTCAAATGCATAAAAGAAACTGCAAAAATATTATTCTCCAAAGTATGAGATCTTGCTGCTCCCTGGCATATGCTGTCAATTTGGCTCAAATTCTCAATAGGTTGGACATTTCTTACATCAACAATAGCATAACTGTATTTTTATGTTTAAAAGCAACTACATATGCACACCTATAGGAATATAAGTACATAAGAAAAAGGTCTGAAGAGACACAGATTAACAGTTCCTCTAAACAGGATAATAAAAACAGGAATAAGGAGGGAAACAGCAGGGAATAAAGATAAAAAATGATTCTTCCTTATGACTTTTATATAATTCTGTCTTTTTAAATTTAATGTATTAACCATTTTATTAAAACAGTTTTCTGGGAAAAATATATAATTTATGTACGTCTACCTTGGTATTTTGCTCCAAGTCTTTACTATTCAGAAGTGCATGATTAATTCGAAAAACTATCCAGTCAAACAGGGCACTATATAAAGACTTAGCCATGGAGTTCCTCACTGTCACAGCCTGAAAAAAAAGAAAGGGTTAGGAGTACAAGTGAAATTGACAATAATCTGACGAAGATATTATAACAAAGTGTATTTTGCTCTCATTCAAGAAAAAAAGCTCACTGTAATGAATTCAAAATTAATTTCTCTCAATATAAATAGCCTATAAATTTTCTATATACACTCATTAATTTAGTCCAACGCAAAGAATCTAGGCTAAAACTGTCTTGAAAAATAAGAAAAATGTAGGTCACTCAGTTCAAAATAGTTTTACTGAAAATTAGGATATATACTTCACCTGGTAAAGAAGGTGTAATAGGAAGTTTACAAACAAATGAACCTTGCCAGGTAAAGTGGAGATTAGTATTCCAGGCAAAGCAATAAATCTGTTAGCAAAAAGGAATCAATTATGTGCAGAATCCTAGTCAGACTCTTAAAAACATAATCATAATACCACCACAATTACATTCCTGGTTGTCTTCGGCTTGTCATCAATAGTAACCTCTAGAATTTCTCCATCCCTACACAGAGTAACTATTCTTTCATTATGGAGTTATGTAATTTATTTTTCCCTCATTTCAAACTTTCCCTAGTTTATGGAAACTCTCTGTACTATCTACTCAATTTTTCTGTAAATCTGAAATTGTTCTAAAACATAAATCCTACTAAAGAAAATTCAACATTTAAAAAGTACTACAACCTAAAGGGGGGCAGATGTATCTTAGATAATCTTGAGTCTTAGCACTTAGAATACAATAATTTATATATTAATCACCTAGGGACCTATTTTGAAGCTTGTATATTCAGGTACATATTTATATTTGGTTCTGAAGTTTAGAGGAAGTAGAGAGTAATGATTAACAGCTGGACTATCTTCTAGTCCCAGATTCTCTACTTATTTTAGTTGTGTGACCTTTGTGACCAAGTCAAATTACTTAAACTCTTAGGCTACAGCTTATACATTTGCAAAACAGAGATAATACAGATGATGAATGAATTTTTGAATTTCAGTTAAAAAAGGATAGAAAGCTTCAAGTTTCTAGACCAAAAAAATAACTACTACCTAAACCACTATACTACCAAAGAGAACACAGGTATCAAATTATCTTTAACATTATCAACTTGAAAATAGTTGGAAAATGTTTACAAGTTCTGAGAGAAAAAGGAATGTGGCCCTAGAATTCTATACTTAGGCAAGTTATCAACAAAGTATCTTTAAAGTATCAATAAAATCATAATAGAATATATAGAAAGAATTGCCGTTCTATTTTTCCCACAGGGAGAAAAGGGAATAAAGGTAATTTAATCATATTCAGAAAAAGTAAAACATTTTAAATCTAAATAAGCAAACATAAGATACAAAAAAAACAAAAAATAAGAAAACATATTGGTTATCACAATATACATAAATTGGTTGAATTTTTTAGTTAAAAGACAGACCTTCATATTAAATTAAAAACTAAAACCCACCTATTCGTGGTTTATAGTTAAGTACTATTTTCATAAAATAGTCAGAATCCAGATTTATCAAAGTATACCAATATCTATTTACCCCGTAACTCCCAATATTATACTTTCAGCCTCTGTTCTCCGAAATGCAGTCTTGCCTATCACAGCTGAATCTCAATAAGCCCAATATTAATTAACATTTTCCCACCTAAACAAGATCTCCCTTAGTGTTTCTTATCCCACTGAGTAGTGCCAATATTCTTAGTTGTGTGAACCAGAAAATGAGGATTCATCCTAACATTTCTTCTTCCTCCTTGCTTCCCATTAAGCAAATTACTGCCAGATCCTGTTGATTTTACCATCTAAATTTCTTTAGTTTTAAATACATTGATTTCTCCCTATCAGTATCTCACCATTCTAGACAAAGCAGCAAACATCTTTCTCCACAGTACTAGTACACAGCCTCCAAAGTAATCTTTCCATATTCACTCTTGCCATGTTTTCAAATCCTAAAATGACCCCCAAGATTACCATCTCCTGCTATACATGTTCTGTACCACATGTACAGAACTTAAGTGGGCAGGACTATGAATATGATGGATTTCACTCACTCCCTTAAACTGTCATATATTATATGACAAAGGTGAAGGGATTTTAAAGATTTAGTTATGGCCCCAAATCAGCTGAGTTTTTTTTTAAACTTAATCACAGGGAGATTATCCTGGATAGAGCTGACTTAATCAGAGAAAACTTAAAATAAACTGATTTCTTTCATCAGAGATTCTTCTGCTGGCTTTGAAGAAGCAAACTGCCATGTTGTGAACAGGACTCTAGCTGCTGAGAATGGCCCCTGACAGCCAACAAGAAATTAAGGGTCTCAGTCCTACAACTGCAAGGAACTGAATCCTGTTGACAAACTGTGAACTTGGAAGAGGATGTTGAGTCTCAGATAAATCACAGCCTTGACAAACATTTTGACTTCAGCCTGATGAAACCCTGAGCAGAGGACCCAGCTAACCTGTGCCCAGACTTACGAGCCATGGTAACTGTCAGATAATAAATCTGTATTGTATTAAGCGGCTAAGTCTGTTACACAGCCATAGGAAACTAATATACTCTCTTCCAAGTGACTCTTCACACTGCTGCCAGAGTGATTCTTTAAAAAAATCAACTAAGACACCTTTTTTGTTTAAAACATTCTAAGAGCTTTCCATTGCTCTTCAGGTAAAAATACTAAAATCCTTAAGGACTGCTCCTTATTTTATACCTAATGCCTAGCACATTTCTGAGCACATATTTCTAAACAAATAAATAAACTAAATAAGTGTAAATAAAAATAAAGCAGAGGCTATAAAAATAATATCAGAAAGTTAAATTTAAAGTTAATGTAAATAAAGAAATGTTTTATAACGAAAAAGTTGTTAAAGAAAATACAAAAGCAATGAACCTTTATGTAAAAGAGGTTTGGCTTTTTCTGCTACTTAGAAAGGAATTCTCAAAGTTGGACACTATCAAATATGACATAAGATACCTGACATAATGAAGAAATGTAGACTTGTAGGTATAATTAGGATGGACCCAAAAAGTGGGATAAATGGATCAATGTCAGCCCATAACACATTCTCTACAATTCAATCACTATTTCCCCACTCTTGTATCTTCTAATCTCATATTGCTGTCCTATTTTTATAATTGTCATAGTTTCATTTCTTATCACTTTCATAAATTTACACTAAAAACAGTCAGATTTTCAGTAATTTTCCTACTTCTATACACCTGGGTAGTATAATAACAATAATGGCTCACTATAGCAATATATCTCACCTGGAAGCCTCACTATACAAATGATATTTAAAGTCATGGGACTGGGTAAAATAATCTAAAGAATACAGAGAGGAAAAGACAAAGACTGTGTCGTAGGGCATCCCATCTTTCAAAGGTCAGAAGGAAAAGAAAAAAGCAAACAAACAAACAAAAAAACTGAAAAAAATAAACCAGGAGAGTATGATGTACCAAAAGATAAGAAACTGCCTCAAGAAGGAATAATCAATTGGGTCAAATACTCCTCATTTACCTACCATCTGTTCACCCCATATTAATAATATGAAACTTAAGAATGGTGAATAGATTAAGATCTTTGAAGAAAAATGTAAGTCTATTGCTTAAAATAACATTCAACTTTAAGTTTCTTAGTAGACGTAAAATTCACAAATTTCAAGGGCCCAGAAATATTTCAAACAACACTCTTTCTTGCTGTTATTTTCATATTGTGTTAAGAGAAATGACACAAACCCAAACTTCTAAAAATGTTCAGAGTACTTTGATCCAAAGAAAATCTATTCATACCTCTGCCAGTCTGTATGGTAAAATAAGCTTTTCTCCCACTGTCACAGTCTTCCTCGTAACTAATGCTTCAAAGAGCATCTCTTCTTTAACCTGTAATGGCAGAAAAGTAAATTCAATACATAAGATTCATAACAATCATTTGAATTAATTATTGAAAAGCCATATAGAGAAAAATGAGATTAATAAATAATAGACAAAAGAGTAAAACTAAGACAATACACTGGAGATTTTAAATATTGGCCAAAGTGAAATATAAGTGACCCATGCACTCCACTCCCTGACCCCAAAAAAAGAAATCAAAGGGTAAATAAGAGAGATGGGTCTTTTTAAATTAAAGTTTTCATTCTGATCATAATGGAGAATAGAATAGTATAGAATGTTTTTTATACTATTTTATATTTCCCATATTTTGCATAATGAAACATGTGCATATATGGGAAACATGTGCAAAATATGGGAAATATAGAATAAAAAACATTTTAAGATGATCAACCATAATCCCCAAACCTGGACCGAAGGACTGAACAGTGACAACACTTCTTGAATTCCAGGAAAATTGCAATGGGTACTACCTTATGTTTCAGATGTTTATTTTTATTTACAGATGTTAAACTTTAAGATAAAGTTGATGCTTCATTTTTTTTCACTCTCTAGGGGCCAATACTACCATAAATTTGATATGTATCATTTTAGTTTATGTATTTATATATATATATATTAGATGTATTTGTAAACACTGCATTATACTGTCAAGTGTATTTAACTTTTATCTGTATGATATCATATTCCCGTATGTTTTGAGATCTATGTTTATAATTTAGATAAAGTTTATTCATTTTAAATGCCATACAGCATCCAACTATATCAATTACCAGTGTGCAATCCAGTCTACTTTTAGGCACTAACACTATTTACATTTTTGCACCATTAGTAAACAAACTGCAATAAATATCCCTGCATATAATTTCAGGAGTTTTTCTGATGTACATACCTAAAAGTGAAATTACCAGGCTGTAGGGTACATATTTTCACCTTTATAGGATATTGCCAAACTCCTATACACAGTTTCTACCAATCTGCTCTCTCAGCAGCAGCACTGAGAGTTTCCTAGTTCTTCAAACCTTGGCTATACCTGGTATTATCAGACTTTTGATTTTTGCCACACTGGTGAGCATGAAATGGTGAAAGAAGAGTATTTTATAAAAGCATCCATACATAATATAGAATTTTCATAAAATTTTATGTAGATAATATAAAATATATCAAGCAAAATAGATTAGACTACAAGGAGAAAATGAGTTATAAAAACAAGAGAGTGAGGTACTTACTACCCTTGACACCAGCAATTCATGACAGATCTTTTAAAAACACTATTACACCATAAAGCAAATATACCGTCTTTGAAAAAATATACCTTCTTATGCTCAATTCTCAAATTCCAAAAAATAAAAGCAATTTTAGGCACATTACTTTCACAAAATACAGTAAAACTAAAAATGAACAGTTGAAGATTAAATATAAAATCATAACCCTTCACATATATTTAAAATATTTTGATAAAAATAAAATAATAGCAGATTATACAAACACAATAAAACTAAGAAAGCACATATGTGATAAGAAAAAAAATTGTTATACTGTGGGGTGTATTTCTACATTTAAGCAATTATTATTGAAAGTGAGCATTTAAAAATAAATGATCTATGCCACAGGGTCGAGAAATTTTTGACTTACAAATGTAAAAGAACTAACAAATGTAAGCTGGCAAAAACATGGAGCAAATTTCCATACACTTTTAAAAACTGGTACAATCCCTATAGAGAGCTGTCAACATCAGTAACCTCAATATGTGCATATACCCTAACTCAAAAGTCTACTCCTTAAACTATACTCTAGAACAGCAAAGTTCAACCACTGTGCTGCAAGAATTTTTAAAACATGCAATACCTGACTATTTAGTCAGGGGCACTGACCTCTTTTCCCTTAAACTGTCAAATAAAAAAATAACAGCAGCCAATACAACAATAGCCATCCAGTGTGAATGAATCAAAATTATACCTATTTTTTGTCAGATCGGCAAAAAATATATTTTTGGTGTGTCAGAGTTTTAGTAATTAGTTTATGTGTGTCATGAGATAAAAAAGTTGAAAATCACTGCCCTAGAATAATTCCCACACATGCTAACAAAGAGATATATACAAGAATGCCTCTCATAATGCTATCTATAAATGGAAAATTACAAACAACCTCAATCCCCACTAAAACAGAAAAATTATGTTATGTTTATTCATAGAATGGAATTTTAAACAGCAGCTAAAAAAGAAACTTAGAATATATAAATGAGCCTTGAAAAATCTCAAAAACATAATATGGAATGAAAAAGTCAAGCTTTAACATGGTACACACAGTGTAACATTTACATAAAGTGTGAAAACATGCAGAACAAACTATATATTCTTTATGGAAATATCTATCTATCCAGAAAATATAAAAACAAGAATGGGAATGATAAACACCAAATTCATAATAGTGTTTACTTCTGGTGGGGGTAGAGCACACAGTGGGCTTCAATTAGATGCAGAATCTTACTACATATAAGATATGTAACATGTGTGCAGGACTGTAAGTATTCCAGGTGGTTAAATATATCATTTTCAATATGTATTGTGGGCCAAAAACATTTCATAATTTAACATAGAAAAAAAACATATTTAAAAACAAAAATTAATACATAAAATGGCAGAACTGATAAATCTAAAGGCTCATTCTTTGAAAATAATATACAGAAAGCTAACACCATAGAGAAAATTTTTGAAACATTAATATTTACAAACAACACAAAAATAATAAATTTTAAACATTTAATCAACACACGACTTCCTAGAAAAACACAAATTATCAACAGTAACTCAAGCCAGATTCAAAATCCTAAATAATTAGTTAACACAAAATAAACTGAAAGGACATCAAATACACTTGGTCACAGGGCTGATATCTTTCAAATCTTTATGGAACATAATATTCTCTAATGATTTTTTGTTTGTTTTTAATTTTTAAAAAATTTTTCAATTACAGATTACATCCAATATCACTGTGTATCAGTTTCAGGTGTACAGCATAGTGGTTAATCATATACTTTACAAAGTGTTCCTCCTGGTATTTCTAATACTCAGTCAGCACCATGCCTGGTTATTACAATACTATTGACTATATTCCCTATACTGTACTTTACATTCATAACTATTTTATAACTTCCAATCTGTACTACTAAATCCCTTCACCTTTTTCACCCAGTCCCCAAAACCCCTCCCCTCTGACTCTATCACTCTGTATCTGTGAGTCTGTTTCTGTTTTGTTTGTTTACTTATATTATTCTTTAGATTCCACATATAAGTGAAATCATATGGTACTTGTCTTTCTCTGACTAACTTATATCACTTAGTATAATACCCTCAATTTAAGGAGTTGGCTTAATGCTGGCACTAAAACCTGACAACTGTACACAGATCTATACACTATGCACCATCACACAAAGCACAACTAATTTTGCTTCTATTTGATAAACATCCTAAATCTATATATTCATATTAACCACTGTCACCCCAATAAATTTAAGAAAGTGTTGAAAGAAGGGAGGGGAG